CACCACGCGCAGTCTCAGTCACTGTCTCAGTGCACCCTGGGGCGGGGCCGCCGCGCTCTGCCTAAGCAGGCACTTTAGTCCACAGAGCTATCAGGCCAGCCCTCAGGATAATAATCCTGATGACACAGACGGGGGTAAATTAAATCACTACTCTTTGAAATACAATTAGGTAAGCTGATTCCACTCTAAACTGTATCAGAGCAAGTGCATCAAGACTCTTCCCAGAAAAAGATAATCAGAAAGTGCAGTCTCGCCAAGTGAAAATTCTCACTGAGAACACAATGGCCAGCGCACCTTGTGCGGGGCCGGGAGAGACGCAGGGCGGCTCTCCCTGCTCTATCTTGTCTGCAGAGTGCGATGCTTTCTACGATCTCCTCTTCTGAGACTTTTCACATTTCTGGTGGTCTGCACACATCCTCATAGGTCAAAATTGGAGACCACCTCTGACATGTGGGCTAAGGGCTGGCCGACACTGGCCACAGCCCCTGGAGGCCACCGGGGTGCACCGGGGTGCCTATTTCTCCATCATGTGCTAGCGTCTCTTGGCCACTACTTTTCCCACCTGCACGTACTTCACGGGGACAGTACCGTGAGCTGAGTAACCACAGCTCATTTTGGTTCTCATTGCCAGCTTCAAACAACAGTAGTTTAAAGTTTAGAGTGCAAACGAAGTATGAAGTTAACATTAAAAGTATTCCTAGCCTCCCTCGGTGACCCAAATGAAGCCCTCCATTCTCATATGTAATCTGAACAAGAACACTGACAGGTGTGCTTTAGTGAGGTCACACAGGACAAGGAACCATTCTCTCCTGCTGTCAGGTGTCCACGGGTTCTCATTTCAGGGTGGACCAGGCTTGCTTGGTCTCAACCCCAGAAGCAAGGCTTTTTTGTTTGGTGGCACTGGCGATGGAACCTGGGCCTGCACATGAGCTGCACCCCCGGCCCTTTGGATCTGCAGGCAGGGTTTCACTGAGTTGTCTAGCCTGGCCTCGAACTTGCTAACCCACCGTATCTTCCCAAGGAGCAGGGACTCCAATACAATCCCACCCGGGGCTGGACCGGAATGGTGAGCTGCTTTGTAATGCATGTGAGAGCCACTAGGTTGAAGTTGACCCCATTCCAGGCCACACACAGGAGGCGAGGGGTGGAGAATGGGAAAGAGGAAGAGCCAGCGCTTTGGAGGGCCACGGAAGATCCACCTTGTAGAAAGCCTGCGCCCCATCCTCACGGCTGCCCCTCCCAACCGCAGCACTGGTGGTCCACGCAGGGGCTCCGAGTGCTTCTGCCTTCGTGGCAGGTAACGTGGCCCTCAGGTGTCTTCAGGCCTAGTCCTACCCCTCGGTTCACAGGCGGGTGTCCAGAATCGCCTGCGCTCCAGCCCGGCCGCCCTGCAGAGGGGCAGATGCACGTGACGCCCCGTGTACGCTCACGTTCCAGACATAGTGCTCTGACTCAAAACAAAATACCATTCGCCATTTTGGAAACTGAGTACGGACCCTCCCTTCCTACCTGGGTAACAAAAGCATCACAGCGATTATTCTGAAAGACAGAAACAAATGCCCACTTGCCACCTGACCCTGAACTCTGGTGCTTTATGCTGCGGACTAACAGAAAAACTAGCGTTTTAGCATCTCTTACCGCAGTCTGGTCACCGGGCTCACTCACGTGGTTGTGCCATCCAACACAGCTGCTTCACCTTCCCAAACAGAAACCCTGCGCCTCACAAACACTGACTTCCCTGAGAAACGCCAGCCCCTCACCACCTTGTAATGAGCTGCCAAATGGAGGTGACATATCTTGAAAAGTCACCGTGGACAGGTTTGAGCAGGACCAGGCCACCATACATCTGTGACCTGATTCCCTCAGGAAGCTAGCCACCCAGTTAAAGAGCAGGCGATCCCATTCTGGCCTCTAAGTCACCAGCCGCCCCTACTCCTTGGCCTGTGGTCTTGGGCTCCATCCACAGTGGTCTTGTGGTAGATGAGATTAAGTAGGCCAGTAAAGAAAAACCCACAGGCGAGTCTTTTGGTCACTGCCACTTCTTTTTTGAGACTGAGTCTTGCTATGTTGCCCAGGCTGGCCTTGAAGGCCAAGGCTCACAGGAGACAGGATGCTCCTGTGTCAGCCTCTGAGGAGCTGGGAGGACAGGTGCATGCCACCACCTCACCTGTCCGCGTTCCAGATCTAAGCCCACCCTTAATCTTCTACACCTTGCCTTATTTTTCTCATGTCACAAGCTCTGTAGTTTCTACACAAATCGCCACACTGACTACACTTGTATTTGAAAACCGAACTGAAAGCCAGCATTCAGCGACCAACTGGGGAGTAGAGGTCGAGGACAGTGTGCCCTGCACATCTGAGCCACACCATCGTTCTTCCTCTACCCATAAGCACCACAACGACCTGAGAACTGCCCACTGGCCAGGTGCACGGTGCTGCCCATGAGTCTAAGGCAGCAGCTTGGGGGGAAAAAGGGGGTGACCGCGACCACACAGGGTAGCTAGACAGACAGGAACAGAAAGTACTGCGTGCATCAGGGACTTGGGGCTGGGTAGAATCCGCCCATCACCAAAGGTCAGGTGCTACACGGCTGCCTTGGGGTGAAGTGACTACGGCCCTCCAAGCCAGGAAAACCGGAAAAGGCGAGAACCGAGGGCTGAAGGAACAGTGAGCGAATCAGCGCCCAGTTTCACGGCGTTTCAGACGCTGAAGAGCTCCACTACCAATGTCAATATCCTCGCTGCTCTAATGCACGCCGAAACCTAGTTAAGATGCTAACGTGGATGGTGGGTATGATTTTGGCCTAAAATGTTCCAAGGTTTCTGTTTTCACTAGTACACGTTTGCAGTGCGTAGGGACCACACTCCCCATGGGGAGCAGGTGCGTGTCCTAACACATCCTAATTCTTTCCAGGTTCCCTTCCTCACCCTCCACTGCAATCTTAGCAGGAAAATAAGCTTTTGCAAAGGGAAACAACAAAACCCGACTCCATCCAAAGCTGCGTCGCAAGGCTCTCCGGCACACGGCTGTGCGAAGCGAAGCTCGTATCCCGAGTGCTGCTGTCCTCTCCGCAGCACCTTGAGAAGTCAACACAGAGCTGAAAGGAAAGAAATTCTCATCTGGAGAAGAAGCAAGCAAGACAGGCTGAGCAATGGCCAGGCCGAAGCTGCGGATGGCTGGGAGGGCCTTGAGCACCTCAGCAGGGCCCGCGCTCCGCTAGAGCAATGCACTTAGTTGGTTCTTTGCTTGTTTTCATTCATTCTGTGTTCTGGGCTGAGGTTGGTGCCACCCCGGCCCCAGTTCCTGGGTTGACATCTTACCATCCGGTGCAGTAGAATTGGGGATTGACACCTCTGTCGACTAATTAGGTGCACAGGATGGGGCGCTCTCAAAGCGGATTACTGCCGGTGGAGAAGACGCCTCCGGGAGCTGCCTCGCTTTCTGCCCCGTGAGACCCCACAAGAAGTCAATCTCATATGAAACGGGGAGCAGGACGCTCACTGGACAGCCTGCAGGTACATCCACTGTGTCCTTTCCAGCTTCCAGCACCACCAGAGACACGTCTCTATTGTTTGTAAGTCGCCCTGTCTACGGTGCGGCGTGCTATGCTGTGGCATTCTGACATCACAGCCTGTCACAGGCCAGGATGAGGAAAGTGTAAGGCTTTTAAGAAAGGGCTAGGGCTCAGAGGTTGTGCACTTGTCCAGTGTGGAGGAGGCCCTGAAGTCCATCTGCAGTACCACAACGAAGGAGAGGAGGAGGAGGAGGGGGAGGATGAGGAGGAAGAGGATGATGATGAGGAGGAGGACGAGAGGAGGAGGAAGAGGAGGAGGAGGAGGAAGAGGAGGAGGAGAGGAGCAGGAGGAGGAGGATGAGGATGAGGATGAGAAGGAGGAGGAGGAAGAGGAGGAGGAGGAAGAGGAGAAAGAGGAAGAGGAGGAAGAGGATGAGGAGGATGAGGAAGAGGAGGAGAAGGAGGAGGAGCAGGAGGAGGAGGATGAGGA